CGAGGTATTAAGAGGTGAGTGTGGCTTTGAACGTTTTAAGTTGGATACCGGTGCCGATATTAATGTCTTAAGTTACAAGAGATTTTTGACGCTGGGATTTAACACGGAAATTATATGTAATAATAATAATAAAATGAAATTACAATCGTTTAGCGGGGATGTTATCCTGATAAGAGGGGTTTGTCATGTTAAATGGTGGCATAAAAATAAAATGTATGTTTTAAAATTTGCAATAGCAAATATTAATTGTGAAAGTTTGCTGGGTCGACAAGCGTGTTCGGAACTAGGATTAATTCAACGTGTTTACGGCATTAATATGGTAGAAAATTCGGATCTTTTTGAAGGTTTAGGGTGCTTACCCGGTGAGTACCACAAGTTGTTGATAAATCAGTTAAACCGGTAGTTTGTACTCCGCGAAAAGTACCTCTAGGATGACGTGATAAATTATTAGAAGAATTACACAGGATGACTGAAATAGGAGTCATTAGGAAGGTCACTCACCCAACACAATGGGTTAATTCAATAGTAATTGCAGCAAAAAAGAATGGAATATTACGATTTTGTTTAGACCCGAGACCTTTCAATAATACTATACAGCGTGCACATTTCCAACTGCCAACCATCAAGGAACTTTACACGGAATAAAAAACACTAAATTTCACGGAGCTAGTTTTTTTTCGGTTTTAGACGCAAATTCAGGTTTTTGGGCAATAAAACTTGATGATCAGAGTTCAGACTTATGCACCTTTAGTACACCGTTTAGGCGCTATCAGTATTTAAGGTTACCTTACGGTTTAAACTGCGCTTCAGGGGTCTTTCATGCTAAGATTAAGCAATTAATAGAGGATATAGAGGGAGTAGATTCTTTTATAGACGATATTATATGCTGGGGGCGAAATAAAGACAAATATGATAGGCGTTTAAATGCATTATTAAATAGGGCTCGTGAAATTAATTTAAAATTTAATAAAGATAAATATCGTATATGTGTGGAGGAAGTGACTTACTTGAGTCATATATTTAACAAAAACAGAATGAAACCAGATTTAGAAAAAGTAAAAGCAATAAAAATATGCCAACTACAAAGATGTTTTATAGGTACAGATACCGTGTTGCTAACACATCGCACCGTTCACAGTGACGCCAGTTTTTAATTCACGTGTGCGTGAGTACCACGTGACGCGCATATCTTACGTACCATACCTGCATTAGTGTGCGTGACTTCGGTAATAATAGTGCGAATCGATTGCCCAAAAATTTGGGAGATTTTATATTTCATTCATATTGACATAACTGAGTGTAAAATATGTGTGCGAGGCGTATGTATTTGTGTACGTATGTAAATGGGGATATAAACACACAAGGGATATGGGTGGTTATGTGTATTTTATGTAGGTCTGTACGAAAATCGCACTAAAATAGTGAAGATAAGTAATAAAAAATAGATATAATTAATGTAACAGTTAAAATAAATCAAAAATCACATTAGATATTTATGTATTTAACATATATTGAACTAATCTATTATTATTGAATATATATAGAGTACTACACTTTCGTACATTAAAACCCAAAATATTACGCGAAGACATTAATTATTTTTAATCTTAAGTAAAATGAAGTAAGTTTGGTTAAGTGTAAACTTCGGCCAAGTGATAGCAAATGTTTATTTTTATTAAATTTCATATCTCGATACAGTTTCATGGCTACATCAAATCATTGCGTAAAATCAATTAAATCCTGCCACTGGAAGACAATAAAAGATTGTGTGTTTAAAGGCTACATTTTGTACTGTAAAACCTGTAAATAAATAAAAAAATATATAAAATAAATGTTGATTGTGTATAAGTGCCCTTGACATGAAAGTGAATTGAACATTATATTATAATTACATAATAAACAATAATATAACATAATTATTTAACAAATAATAATATAACATGATTATTATAATAATATAATTTAATCACACAACTAAAGCCCTCTTTAGTAATGTAACGGTAAAAGAATTTTCAAAATCAGTCAAGTAATTTTCGAGATAAGTCAAATAAAACATATTCATAGAAAGTAGTGCCATCTATAATAAAATACATCCTACATTAGACATCTTTAATTATACATAACATTCTAGTGGTAAAAGAATTTTCAAAATCGGTCAAGAACTGTACGAGTTTAGCTAAAAAACATATTCGTTGATGGTAGTGCCCTCTATATCAAAATACATCCTACATTTCACAGTCATAATAGCATTCTAATGGTGAAAGAATTTCTTAAATAGGTCAAGTAGTTTTTGAGCACCATTCCAAAAAGCGATTCAGCTTAGCCAACCGCACACACAGTAAAATCATAACCATCCTTTTTCGTTTGTAGTCGGATAAACTTTTTCGTTGGCTTTATATGACGTATCGCAACCGGCTGTAGTCTCGGTGGACGCAAGCAGTGTAGCGTTAGGAGCCGTGTTGTTGCAGGGCGGCCGACCTATTGAATATACTTCACGTACACTAACCGACACACAGGCACGATATGCGCAGATAGAAAAAGAAATGCTAGCTATTCTCTTTGCGTGTGAAAAGTTCCACCAATATATTTACGGTAAAAGTGATGTTTTAATTGAAACAAATCATAAACCGCTAGAAAGCATTTTTAAAAAGCCCTTAGATTCGATACCAGCACGCTTACAGCGAATGATTTTACGATTACAATGTTATGATTTGATAGTTACATATAAGCCCGGAAGGTATATGTACTTGGCCGATACATTATCACGTGCCCCTATTGCAGAACTATATAATGATAAAGTGAGTGATAATGTATTATATCAAATGCATATGGTAGTTTCTAACATGCCCGTTTCACATAAAAAATTATGTGTAATTAAAAATGATACTTTAAAAGATAATAATTTAAAACGTTTAATGAAATATATAAATCAGGGTTGGCCGGAATATAAACGAGATATTGAAGATAATTTAAAATATTATTGGTCTATGAGAGGCGATTTATTTTGTGTAGATAGTGTTTTATATTTAAAAATAAACAAATATTAATTCCCAGTTCCTTAAGAACCGAAATGTTAAAAATCGTACATGATGGGCATGATGACCGGAAGGCGGGCGCGTGAAGTGTTATTCTGGCCAGGAATTTCTTATGATATAGAGAGATATGTAAGTAGTTGTGTTGTGTGTCGAGAGAATTCAAATGAATCTAGTAAGGAACCGATGATTGCTATTTCTATTCCAAATTTACCATGGAGTAAAATCGGGACGGACATATTTCAGTATGGTAAAAAATCGTATCTGATTATTGTGGACTATTATTCATGTTTTACGGAAGTAGCATTGTTACATGAAACCACTTCTAAAAGCGTCATAAACGTGCTGAGAGAAAATTTTGCTAGATATGGGATACCAGACATTGTAATAAGCTAATGATCCACAATTTTCAAGTCGGGAGTTTAAAAACTTCGCGGTGGAGTGGGGATTTAAACACATAACGTCATCACCCAACTATGCACAAAAAAAGGTAAGAGTGAAAGGGCTGTGTAAATAATAAAAAAGATATTAAAAAATCCATAGATAGTGGAAGTGACTTTTATTTAAATTTGCTAAGTTATCGAAATACGCCTCGCGATAATTTGAATTCTCCCGCACAGCTGCTGATGGGTCGTACGTAGGTTAAAATGCAGGCTGCCTGTGCACCCGGACCATATAAAAATAGGTAATGTAGATAATGAGAGTCAACACAAAGTTATGCTAGATAAACAAAATAAATACAAAATGTATTATGATTTACATGCTAAGCCTTTACCTGTATTAGATGTCGGCGATGAGGTGACCACGATAGAAAAATTTGTAAAATGCCAGGTTATATCGTTGCAAAACCGGCGACTCCCCGCTCATATTTTCTTAAAACTAAAATAGGAATGATGTATCGTCGCAATCGCAAACATCTAATAAATGATAAAACACAAGAAAATAGAACGTCAGGACAAATAGCGCATGAGAATAAAGAACATGATTCAATTAGAACAAAAACTATTTCTATGCGTAGTGAGAATGAGGAATATTCTTCGAACGATGAATATAAACCAACAATGTTAAATTTTGAAGTTAATGAAAATTATCCTCCTCCTCTTACTCGAAGTAAAGCGAATAAAAATAAAAAATAACCTACTTAATTAATCCTGTGTAATCACAAAAAAAGGTTAAGGTTAAGGTTATGGTAAGGTAATGGTAAAATAAAAAAAAAATAATTTGTACTTAAGTAAGTTTTTTATTTATAAGGTAAACGCACCAGTCATGGTCACTTTAAGATATTTTAATTTTATTTTTCGACCTTTTGTTATTTAATTAAAACCAGATCTGATTCAAAACTATTGGTATTAATAAAAGTAGGATTTCCGTACATACGAAAGCTTATAAATTGGTATCGTCTTTAATAGAAAAGTCAAAAAGTAATTTTAAAAAGTTGTTGTTGACAGAGCCAATGATGGTCGGCCGAAAACCCAATGTTGACCCACCATTTATGGTTTACTCCTATTATGGCCAGCACCAATTATGGTCACTAAGCTTATTATTACGCTTTTATTCATAATAAAAGAAACTAAAAAAAATATGTTTTATATTTATAATTCTGAACTTAGAATCTTACAATATTCTTAAAATCATATTAAAATCAAAATGAGACAACGTCGTTAAAAGTAAATAACATTTCTTCCTAGGCTAGATTTTAGTCTCGTTATTAAGTATTGAATCATAAGATGTAATAGTAAGAAGGTATATCTTAAAACCTTAAAATTATAAAAACAACAAAATGGATATTTTTTAACCTTTCTTATCATTCCCTTCCTTCATTTATTATAATTAGCCGATATTTTATAAATCAGTAAATAGGTAACTAAGTATTTTAAAAGAGGTACAACATTTACAAAACTACTACAAGATTAACAAGCGGCTTTATACTTTAAGGCACCGTAACTGAATTTTAGTATGTTTAAATATTTATACATTATCCATTTCTGGAATAATAAAACAGCCTTTTATTGCAAACTTAGGAATTGCTATTTGGCATACAACACTATCCCAACTATACAGTTGTAAGTCTTTTATCACAGGCCAGCGCCAAAATTCTTTGGATTTTTTAAGGCAAGATACTAGCGCCCCTTCTTCAGTCACAGAAACAATTTGTCCTGGGTATTTCCTTTCATTCCAAATAACTATTACATAATCGTTAGCAGAAACGTTGCAAGAAACGGAAGTATTATTTCCTTTTGGAATTCCACAACGCAGCTTTTCATTTAAATTTTCATCTGATGTAACAGAAAAGTTATAAGGCAACTGCTCTACTATAACTTTAGGTGATACTATATCTTCATCAGACGTTTTTGCATCAGCTTGTTCCAAGGACAGCGGAAGTGAAATCGAGTCGCCTTGAATATCTGACTGCCTTTGATTGTTATTGCCATTTTCATTCATAGTGTTTTTTAGCTTCAAGTCCATAAGTGTTAGATCTTCATCAGATTCATCTGGTGTGTCCATTTCACTTCCTCCTGTCTCCGCATATGTCACATCACTTACAACATCCGATTCACTGGAAGTGATAGAGACATGTCTGCGTTTCTTCATGTTTTCTTTATGTTTACTCGTATTCTTTTGTTTTTCAATTATGGCTTTTTCTTTTAACTCTTTCTTCTCTTTACGTAGTTGTTTTCTTTTTGCTTTGATATCTTCCTTTTCTTTTTTTTTTTCTGCATCTTTTTTTGCGTAAAATTCTCTCCATGACTTGCTTGTAATAGCTGATGGTATTTTTTCTTTGGATATTTTACGTTTCTTTTGTGTCGGTTCTGGCCAAAATAGAGCCTTCTTAAACGGTGATGGCCACCAGAATTCCTTTATTAAGCATGTGATGAGCAAAACTTGCAGTAGATGAAGATGGTATTATCTCGTTTTGATCTACTGCAATAGCAGAAGATGTCAAAGGTGTGACTGGTCGGAGTTTTATGCGCAGAAGTTAAGTCACCAATAGCGCATTTAGAAAGCAGGTCCTGATTTTGCTTAGTGCCACATTTTTCACTGCCCCTTTCTATCTTACTATTGTTAGTAGGCCCGAAAACATCTTTATTTTGAAGTGTTTCTGCAGAAGACCTTGCAGATGTCGTAGAATTATCATCGTGGCATTCCACAGGAGGAACAGATATCAGAAGCACGATTTCAGGAGAAGTCGTTTGTTCAGAAACAGTTATCATTCGGGTTGTATTTTGCTCAATACTTGGTCTATCATCTTTTTTATTAGTAACAGCTTTTGTATTGCTTTCAGAAACAGTAACTGCACACAAATGTTTATATTTGGCCCAGATAGTGTACATTGTCAAATCTTCAGTCGGCAATACATCAGCTAATTCTGACATAGGTAAGTAAAAACATTTGTTAAAGGTGTCTAGTTTAGACCGTTTTAAATATATTTACGATTTCTGCTTCGAGTTGGCTTAAAAAAGCTTGGTTTTTTGTAGAATCACAGGCGCTTTTACTTGTCGATGCTCTGTTTTGAATGTTTAACTTAGTAAAGTCTACTAGGTCTGGGCCATAAGGAAAAAGTCCTCCCACTCGAAACCCATTTTTTATGCAGTCCGGAGTTATACTTTCTAATGCACGTTTTAGTATTGGGGCAAAGTTTTCTTTTTTTCACTTGCTCTTCCAAATTTTCAGTCTTCCATTTTCTTGTTTCCTGTCGCCAAAACAGTTTCAGTGGCCTAAATACCGACACATTCATGGGTTGCAGCAAGTGAGTACTGTTTGGGTATAGAGCGATAACTTCAATTTGTTTCTCTCTGCAGAAATCTGACAAATGTTTAGTCAAATGGGAAGCATGACCATCCAGAAAAAAAGATTATGGGGAACTTCGTATTGTTTTGAACCAACCAGGGATATAATATATTGGTTACATATTCGTAGAATGTACTCCCACACATCCAGCCGTTTTCTGAACGGCCAATGCCCCAATTTTCAGGAATACTTTCGGCAATAGCTCGGGGAATGCGTTCGTAAGAGAACACTATCATTGGTGGTGCTAACTGTCCAGCTGCATTGGCTGTCAAAAGAACTGTAAGGTTTTCTTTTTTCGTTCCCTGACGTAGAATATATATTTTTTTCTCCTCTTTTAACTAAACACGTTTAAGTTTGGGATTTAAGAAAAACGCGCTTTCGTCGGTATTAAATATCCGCGTTGGATCCTTCAAAACTTTTGGAAGATTATTTTCTTCTAAATACTTCTCTACGTCTGCAAACCATTTGACTATATGTTCTTCTTTTACAGATTCTCTTGATGTAGTTAAGTTTTGTGAAACTCTCTCAGATATTTCTGGATGTCTTTTTAAAAATAAATCGAACCATTTCCTCCCTGGTCTGTCATTCGTAAATGGATTTTTTCTATTAGCAGATTTTATAATTAGTTGAACAGAATCTAACAGCTGTTCCTTTCCTATCGGGCAATATCGTTCTGCCATTGCAAACAACCATTCTTTTAATATGGCTTCCTCATTCATAGAAAGTAGTGTAGGAGGACCCATATGACAGACAGCAGGACTCTTTCCCGTTACTTTATTCCTTAAGGTCATTCTCGGTACACCATATTTCTCAGCTGCAGCTGAATAACTGTCCCCTTTTCTAACAGCTTCCATTGCAAGGCACATTTGATGAGGCGTGTAGTTTTTCTTTGGTGCCATCGTTACCTTATGAAACAAAGAAATCAAATTTATAAAAAATATCTATTTTTCAAAACAATACACCCTTTTTTGGACAGTCGTGTATAAAGGTTAAAACTTAATTGTATAACAGCAAAAAAAATTATATAATACTCCATTATAATGCAAACATTATGGTCTGTGATCCAGTCATGGTCACCCCAATAATGGTAACTATGACCATTACTGGACCGGTATGTTCAAACGAGGCGCTGATAAAATTTGAACTAGTTTCTGTGGATAAACATTCTAAATTTTATGAAAAAAGCTAAAAACCCTATTGTGCCCATCATGGTCAATTTGACCATCATTGGAAATATCATAAATCGACGTTCCAGTAATGGTCAGTTCAGTTTAAGAAGTCTACAAAACAGAAATATGTGCATTTTTTGGTGTCATTCATCACACAGGTATGTTACCTTAAGTATCAAAACAAAGAAATATCTCAAAACCCTTATATAATTATAAAATAATAAACAGAAGTACTCACCAACCTTATCAAAAATAACACTAATTATATAAATTCACCACCGCATTCTGTTCAAGGGCCCGCCATGTTGCAAATGTCACGTGTCAAAATGACAAACGTCATTTTTTCACAAGCTGAGTGTCTATGGTTTATCACTAAATGTTGCCATTTTCCCTACAACGTTTAGTTTTCTTATTTTGCCGTTTTTTTCGAAACTGACCATCAATAAAACGCTTACCAAGACTGGTACAGTTACCTTATAAGATTATTAAAAAAATATCTCACTTTTGTTAAAAACTTATTCTTGGGGAAGATGTTGTGGGTAGTCCTAAAATGTTGTTTGTTAGGAACCGCCCTTATTATTAAAAACAGTTGTCATCTGAACTCCCTTTTTTCATTGTCACTACATTTTTGTTTTGAACAAATATGGGATGTAGTGGACTATGACTATTTAAAAAAATATGATACGTTTACGTATATAAGTGATATAAATGGTTCTCATCGCTGGCTGGATCATTGCATTACAACTAAGTAAGCTATGAAATCTGTTGTAAATATTAGGGTACTTTATGATGTTTTCTGGTCTGATCATTTTCCACTTGAAATAACTATTTATATGGGAAAACTAAGTTATAAAGTAAGTAAGTAAGTAAAATGTAATCTTAAATCTGATAAAGCTGTATGGGGTGTAAGAAATCGATCAAATAAAAAAATATTTTGATATTTGTTGTGAAAAGCTTAGATATATAGATTTTCCTGAAGAGTTTAGGTCTTGTGCTAATCACCACTGTTCTATTTTGGAACATAGATTAACAATCGATAAAATGTATGACGGCATTATATGAATTATAGCATATGAGGAGTACATTGGAAGAGGCGATTGTGGAAACGCGCAGTACGCCTCTCGAAAATCGACCGCGACTTCCCCGCATAGCCCTAAGCAAGCGGAATCGTGAGGGCTCTGAAACCAATGCTGGTGACCTATTTGGAAGCCAGCCGGGACCTTTGCGAGACGAACTCAATTCTTTTTGGCGCCGCACTGGCAGTATACCGTATTATAGGCGCCAAACTTTCCACGGCTGGACGCGCCACTGAACAAAGTAGCGCTACTCCAGCCTGGAGAATAAGAATTGAAGAACGTATTGCAAAGGCTAGGGCCCTCATCGGCAGACTGATATGCTTCATGTCAGGTAATAAGAGGCCAAGGATTGTGCGCACCGTCAGGATGGCATTTGCTAGGACAAATGTTAGTTTGTTCCAGCCGGATACAATGCAAAAACTGACGGAGCGCATAGACGACCTGAAGCAGAGAATCGCTAATTGGGGAAAGCGGATTCGGCGATATACCGAGAGGTCGACACGGTTCAACCAGAATCGTCTCTTCTATAAATCATTGGAGCGACCAATGGTAAGTGGAACGGGCCCAGCACCGTATCAGGCCAACACTGTCGCATTCTGACGCGGCTTGTGGTCAGAGCCCGTAAACCACAGCGAGAGCCCTTGGACGGAAGTTGTGGCGAATCAATGTGCGAGTATTACGCCCATGGACCCCGTTATCATAACGCCGGATGACGTAGCTGAGGCGGTCCGTAGAGCCCCGAACTGAAAATATAGCCCCATAAGTGAGGCGCTGAGATCGCTCGAGGTTCGGTCAATAAAAGTCATTTTGAGTCTATTTTTCCGATCAGTTGCTAAACCACTTGCACATCCACGCACAATAAAATATTTCTCCATTTTTTAATGTTTCTTTTTGTCAAAAATTACAAAATTACGGAGCATGAAATTTTTCACTTAAAAAATGAAATGAAAATTTGTACATTATTCAACTAACTTCATCTACTTATACTCATAAACAGCTAACTTCGCAGTTAGGACAGGCGGGCTATGATTTAGTACGTAGTGATCATTCTCCTGTTCTCTAACCTTTATGTTGTCTTAGATGTTAAAAAAATATTTCGGAAATCATTTTAGGTATAAGTACCAAAACTCGCTGTAGCCTGTGCCCAGTAGTGGGATGTATTTAAGCTCCTACTTTTTTTACTTTGAATAGGGCTTCCCACTGCTGATCATAGGCTTCCCGCATTGTATGACAAATAGAACGGGTATTTGCAGTAGTATTCACGCTTGGCAAACGGGTTGGCAACCGCAGCTCTTTATTGCTTTGCGCTGTTAACAAGAAGATGCTGCCCATCTCCTGTATCAATTTCCGTCTGTCTCCTCTTAAGACACCGACGGGATGAAATGGGGTGGTGGTTTCTTTTTCACCACCTCTACATGGCTAATATATTATTTCTACTCCCGTTCATCAATTGGATTTCCAATAGTTAATAAAGTTGGATATTTGCCGTAGTAGCCACGCTTGGCGTGCGAGTTGCCAACTGCATATTTTTAATATTTTGAGCTGGGAAGATGCTGCGGCCCATCTTATGTAGATTTCTACTCCTGTTCATGAATTTAGTTCTTCTCACATGTTCTCCGTGAATAGAACTACATTTATGAAATTTTGAATACTGGCATGTGGTGCTAATCAATATTCAATGGAACCAATATTAAAAAAGACCATGAAATTAAACCTTATTTTATGAAGACGATATCAAATTTAATAATGAATATTATATGTAAATAACGCATTTCCGATTCCAGGACGATTTTCCGTAAATAAAGACACATCGAAAGCCCGATATAAAAAAAAAGTGTTGCTTGACGTATGATATTTATGCGATTCGGATAACTTATGTGTTTCTGTAGCCTATAATATTGCCAATATAGACACAGATACCGATGTGTCTCTACAAGTGATCCAGTTTTGCTAATTTTAGTACGAAATAGTATTATCGATGTTTCTAAATTCAAGCCCACGCGAGCGAAGCAGCGGGTAAAAAGCCAGTTTTATATAAAGACTATCGACTAACCGACCTTAAATTAAATTATCAAGTGGATACGGCTTTCTTAATTTTTTCTTCTTTTTAACCCGTAACTACATCTTTAACTATAATAGAACAACTTGTAGGGGTTAAAGTATCCTATATCCTATCTACATTTCAATTTTTTAAAACCGCTAATTAAAAATAATTGTTGATTTTCAAGAGTTGTCGCGAACTGTCTGGAAAATATTTAATACATTAGGAAAACAAAAAAGTTTTAAACTATATAATAGTTAGACAAAATGAACTTTAAGCAGACAGCTGCTTAAAAATAAAACGAGACATCTACCTAGGGCTAAGTATTCCCCAGAAAGATGTTTTGCTTTAACTTTACATTACTATTCACCGAAAGCTTAACAATATGTGCGAAATATCAAAAGTTTTGAAATTGGTCTGCCTTCATCACATACGATAACAAAGTGGTACAGTACAATTTATGGCCGACTTGGCTACACAAAAAAAAGCGTTAACTGTTTTAAAACTTAGACTAGAGAGTAACCCTGACAAGAAATTATATTGTATATTAGTGATAGATAAAATGAAAATAAAACAATTGACGGAGTACCATGCAAGTTCTAAAAGGCATTTTGGTTATATACATAATGCCTTTGGCTACACTAGCATGGTATTCTGTCAATTGCTTAATTTTCATTTCATCCATTACCAAGGTACAATAAAAAAATTTATCAGGGTTACTCTCCGCTCTCAATTTTAATGCCGTCAGCGCTTCTTGAGTAAACCCTGGTCGGCGATCGATGGTAGTGTACCACTTAGTCAATGTACGGGTGCAGGCAAACATGTTCCAAAAGTTTTACGTGCACATCGATAGGTTTTTGGTGAGTAATAGTTAAGTGTTAGGGCATATTATTTCTTGCAAACATGTGAAGCCTGTTTATGCTATTGTTTTTATGTCAAGGCATTTTTTCGTTCTAATTTTCATTGGCCTAAGTGTTGGCTCGTACTTGCAGTGGGAGTAGGACTAGTTTGGGGTATATAAGGATTTTTCGAATTGTGACCTTCGAGATAACTTATGGAATGTTGCCGGAACAGCTTTCTTTTTTCGATGTAGACGATATTGTGCAATTACCACGATCACCCTAAAATAAATAATTTTATTTTAGTCAGAAGATTCAAGCTATATATATATATATATATATATATATATATATATATATATATATATATATGATAAAGATAAAGATAAAGATTTTATAAAACATGAGTAAAAAGTGTTAAGGGGAAATATAACCTCAAATGGCTTAGCAAGATCCACCGTTATGCCGAAAATATTGCAGCATTAATTTTGAAATAAATATATGGTAAAGTTGAGGATTAATGTTACGGACTATGTTAGACGAAAACACGATTCCGTAAAATTTTCTCATTAGAAAAAAAATCCAAAGTTACCTCCAAAATAAACAATAAACCGCTGTTATTCATAAAATACTTTAAATAACATCATGAAACTTTGCATACTAACTTAACTAACTATAAAGCAGTGCTAATGTTATTTACTTTTCTTAAAATACCATTATTTTCACTGTAAAAAGAAATTACCTAAACTATCGGCGTCATGAAGCTTGATTCCT